AAAAAAGAATTAATTTACATNTAAAAGTGGATTCATCCCTTTAAACCGTTTTTTAGCACCAACTGATAATTTCTAAATTCATCTATTTATGTGACCTCAAAGTGTACCAAGTTTCATTAAAATTAGAATTTGACACTTCGCGAGGTTCCCTTGTAAGTAAATCTGCATCAACAAAGTAAGGAAAAAGACACGCACGGCGGGCGCTTCCTCGATCACTTTCTGATGCCTCCTCTGCACGGAGCAATCTCTCTCGAACAGATAAACGGCGTTCCCGTGTTTGTCAGCGAAAATCTGCACCTCCACGTGCCTGGGCTCGACGACGTATTTCTCCAGGAGCACCGCCGTGTCGCCGAACGCCTTCTCGGACTCGGTTCTCGCGGATTCCAGCGCCTCGACGAAATCCGACTCCCTCCGCGCGATCCTCATGCCCTTCCCGCCGCCGCCGCGCACGGCCTTGATCATCAACGGAAAGCCAATCTTCTTGGCCTCCGCCAACAGCGTTTCGTTCGTCTGATCCTCACCGTGGTATCCTGCAAACGTGCATGGAGAATAACGGAAAGACGGATAGTTTCATCGTACACACATCGTTGAGACGGAAAGAACAAACTGCCAAGATGGAGATTCACCCTCTATGACAGGAACTCCGGCACTCGTCATGATGGCCTTCGACGTGTTCTTTATACCCATGTCTCTTATGGCGTTGGCTGGCGGACCGATGAATATGATGTTCTCCTTCTGGCACAACTCCGCGAATTCTGTGTTCTCCGAGAGGAACCCGTACCCCGGATGTACGGCCTGGCACTTCGCCCGCTTGGCCACCGATATGATCTTGTCCTGTCGCAGGTAACTCTGGCTGGATTGCGCCGGACCGATGCAGTAGGCCTCGTCGGCCTGCTCCACGTGCATGGAGTTCCTGTCAGCCTCGCTGTAGACGGCCACGGTCCTCACGCCGAGCTTCTTGGCGGTTTTCGTTATACGACATGCTATCTCACCCCGGTTGGCTATCAGAATCTGCAAAATCGAGACTTGCATTATAAATACATGCGATAAGCATATATATATATATGTGTGTGTGAGATCGGAAGAGCACACGTCTGAACT